ATAGAATAAATTTCCATTTTTGGTAGGGTACTGTATATTTCAAAAAAAGAACCTTACTGTATATAGGATATTCCTAATGTCATAATGTACCACAAGAACTTTTTTCAGGGCATACATTGACTCTATTCCATTGTAGGAAAAGAATTAAATATAAAATATGCCTGTGTCATAAAGACCCTACTTTTTGAGACATCTAACAATTCAATAATGATCTCACCCTTTCCTTCTGGGTGGGTAGGTGTTTAAATTAGCTTGCTCCTTGCAAATAACTTTGGTTTAATGAAAAAGATATATTTCCTTTTTTCAACTTTCTGAAATGTGTACTTGTCATGTTTATTACAAATTAGTTGACTGCATTATGACATTTATTGAATTATTAAAAAAGTAACTTTAAAAAATTTAGTATAATAATATATACAATCAGAACTCAATAAGATGATGCTTTGATAAAACGAATATACACAATAAAGAGGCTGATACTTGTTTATTATCTACCTATTATTTATTTATCTCTATAAGCCAATTTTGTTAGATTTTTTTTTGTGAAATGTTGTATGTGAAATTGAAATATATGGTTGGCTTGGTCTAAACTTCATGTTGCTGCGCCACGCGCTCAAAATTTGCGATTTCGTGATTTGTTCAAAACTTTTTTAAAAAGGGTTTCACGTGATTTTGGTTAAAAAATTATTTTCTTTACTGCTAAATTTAGATATGATGTCTAGTATTAGTATAAATTTAGTAATGATGTTCAAAAACTAGTCTAAATTTAGCAATGATCCTAGCGTTCAAATTTCTCATGAGAATAGTAAAGTATGTTTTTAAAAGCAGCTTTAGAAATTGACATTCCTATTCCAGACAAAGAACCATACAGATTCCTCACACTTGATAATATTAAACAATCACCAACTCAAGAGGCAGTTGCTGATGAAAAATCCCGAACTATACAGGTTATAGACATCCTCCTTGGTACACCAACATCTACAGTTTGTGCTAAATTTTCAAAATTTGAGGAAATTGAAAACATAACTCCACAAACACGTAATTTCTACCAACATGCTTTCATTAAATACAAAAACACTGAAGGAAACAAAAAATTTGCAGAAGAAACATGGAGTATTTATCTCTTGAAAGATGCAGTAAGGGTCCCACCATTAGATCTTACACAAGAACAAAGAGAACAGAGACAGGCTCATAGTCGTCGAAGGAGGGATGATATCGACCAAAGGTCGAATCCCTCAAGGTATCGCCCCTTCGTGGCTCAAATAACAAAACTAGCCTCCCCCCAATAAAAAATTCCGATACTAAAACTGGTACTAATATATATAATATCTCTTAATA